ACTGTTTACTGTTTACTGTTTGCTTGTGAACTGCTCAGTTTTTCCACTTAGACTTACTTTGCGTCCTGTAAATAGTGAATGCGCTCTTGGCGAGACGCAGCTGGCTCTTAAAGGGAATGGGAGATGAGACTCTGATTGGTTTATTCTCAAAACACACCAATAACTCATTAAGAAAATAAACTCAACCCTTTTAGACCATGCACCACAGTGCAAAGTGGATTTCCCATCCTTAAATTAACAAAAATGCATTCTGACACCTGAAAGCGTTTGCGCCCTGTGCTTTGCTCATGGACCGTCAAAATAGAGCCCTATAGTGTTCTCTAGAAATAGAACACCAGGAAGCAGTTTGATAACTTGACTGACTTTACTGGGTATTGTTCCTCACAATATCATCTAGTCTGTTTGTAAAACTACAACAATGGGATATCAGATACCCAGCAAGGACCAGATGGCATTGGTATTCTTGCTGTGAGGCAAAAGTGCTAGTCACTGGGCCACCGTGCCGCCCATTCTAGAAAAAGGTGGAAGAAGGGGGGTTTCTTCCAGACGAAGATGGTTGTAGAAAGGAAATGAGGATGTATATAGTGACTTGGGATCCTTTGATTTGAGGATGGTTAGCTAATGTGGGCCAGTTGGGTATATCATGAGCATGTGCTCCTCTCGAAATTAGTTTAAAGTTAAACTTCACTTATTTCAGTTAATAAAATTGTTTTTTCAGTTCTAGTGTTCTATTTTTGTTTGTTTTCGTTAACTATAATAACCTTTTGTGCGAATCTGAAATACATTACTAAGGGTGTGTTTTGTTGTATGTTTCGGATACATGTCCTTCTTGTAGACGTCCAGGAGAAGACGGAGCTTTTCGAACAGATCAACTAGCGAAACACTGAGCTAAACTCTTCGCTAAACCCAACCAATAGTGTTTTCAAAAGCAGACGGAAGAGAAAAGTGCACTGCGAACACATAGTTTACCTTGATTTTACATTGCTTTTCTCTCTTTTATGGAAGCGCGCTTCACCAGACTCTGGTGCTCTGCACCACACAACACCATACAAAGTGAGCTACGAGCAAATGCCACAAAATTGTCCATATGGAGATAGATAGGGAATGCAAATGTGTTCATAACTTATCATAGACCGCGTTAAGATGTTTAGTGGTGTATATTTGGTGTTGAGCAAAGAACTGCATGAAAATAATCCTGTATTCGCCAATAATATGTCCCTGTAGGTATCATTAGTGTGAAAAGGAACAAAAGTTGATGTCGTCGTACTGCCCCCCAGTGTTCGTTTCACCTACAAACTGCAGTTAAACGTATGTTTAAATATGTTTCACAAAAATGAAACATCATCTCATATTTCCAATGAGTCTGTGTTGGAAAAATATATATATAAATGCAATATGTTTAACATTTAACTGACTTCCCCGCAACAAATTGAGATGGAATCCACTTTAGAAATGCACATATTTTTCCTTTAGATAAAACAAGCATTGATCTACTTAATCCATTTAAACTGAAGTGATCCATCTAACACGACCTGCCACTGCATTAAAGGACGGTAAGATGCACTTTTCATTCCTCTTCTTTAAAGCACAAGCTTTTCTCCTCTCTCTCCTTCCAGCAGGACGTCAGCCCACAGCGCCGCCTCACACAGAGTGGCCTGCTGGACAACAAATGTGTGTGTTTTTCATTGCTCCAAGCCTCCACCAACTGCTCTCTGCCACAAAACTCACCCGCCCTCCTCTGGATGGGCTGCCCGGGCCATTCAACCCCCCCCCCTGATGAGCTTTCTGAGCCACTAAAATCAGCCAATCAGACGCCACCAGCTCACACCGTGTGCGGGACGCCCATGTGTGACCGTCCTTGAGAAGGTGGCCCACCAACTTGGCAAAAAAAAGAGATGCTTTGGAAGATGATGGAGATGTGCCCTATTTCAGTTTACCTCATATTTCCTGTTTCGAAATTCGTGTTGTGGTGACAAATGAAATGTTATCGGCTTCAGACGGAGGTGGGGGACGGGTCATGCAGAGCTGTTCGACAGTGGTCAACATTTTAAGTGGATTTTTAAAAGACACAATTGATTGCCTTTGAGTAGATTTAGGACATCTTTAGTCATACGACATACAACAGTACAGGCTTTGCACTCTGATGACCAAAATGTTCATGTGTTCCTATGCTATAGATTTGTCATGCACAAAAACCTTGCATACTAGGGCTCCTATCATACACCCGGCGCATTAAGGCGCGAGATGTGTTTGGCATGATTTGTTGCTACTTTTAGACCAGCGCAGCAGTCATTTTTACGTTTTGCTTCACGTTGTTTAAATAGTAAATCCATTTGTGTCACTCTGTGGACTCATCTGTGTGCTGGTCTATAAAGGAGGTGTGTTAAGGCGCATTGTTGGAACGTGGCTATTTTGAGGGGCTGAAATACACCGCACCATTGACCAACTAAACGCTGCTCTAAAGTCCAGCAGAGTGTGTTAGTTATGCACCTATGCAAGTCCAAACACTCACACACTGCTGAATACACACAGGATGATCAGCAACACACACATATCTTTACAGATGAAAACAATTAAAATGATCCAGACATGATGATTTTCTCCATCAGTATAAACAGCACTGCCTCCATGCCTTCTTCACCTCGGGGGGCTTTTTCAGTTTATTGATGCCGATCTGCATCTGTATAGTGTGATTATTATCAGCAGTATTATTGATTATCTGCAGATTTATAATAAACACAAGTGTAGATGTGTCCAGCTGTGGGGTTTTGGAGACGTCTGCATCAGCATATGTGGATAAGAACAGGACGTGTGTTTGATATAACTCAGTTTTCTGATCACACTTCATTATTATTGTTCATTTATTCCTTTGCTGGAGATCAGAACTGAATTTATAAATAGTTTAGACACAAATCAAATCAAAGGAGATTAAATATGTGGGCTGATGGATGTGTTCAGTGGAGTGAGTTTCCACCGTTTCCTCACTCCACCAAAGTAAAGGAGTAAAGTAAAGAGGCTGAATGGAGGATGCTCGTTCTTTATCCTCACGCTGCAGATGCTGTTTAACTGTTTTCTCTAGTGAAGCGTTCAGTTTTTACACTTACAAAGTCGCCGTGTAAATAGCAAATGTACCATGGAGTGACACAACTGACTCTTAAAGGGAATGAGAGACGAGACTCTGATAGACAGTTAGAAAACAGTTGAACAGAGCATCTGCAGTGCGAGGATAAAGAACGAGCCTCCTCCATTCAGCCTCTTTACTTTACTCCTTTACTTTAATTCTTTATTTTAGTGGAGTGAGGAAACATCCATGAACACATCCATCAGCCCACATATTTAATTTAGTTTGTTAAGCCCAAAGATCTGCATCAAAACTGTTTCTAAATTCAGTTCTGATCTCCAGCAGAGGAATAAATGAACAATAATAATGAAGTGTGATCAGAAAACTGAGTTATATCAAACACACGTCCTGTTCTTATCCACATATGCTGATGCAGACGTCTCCAAAACCCCACAGCTGGACACATCTACACTTGTGTTTATCATAAAACTGCAGATAATCAATAATACTGCTGATAATAATCACATTGTACAGATGCAGATCGACATCAATAAACTGAAAAAGCCCCCCGAGGTGAAGAAGGCATGGAGGCAGTGCTGTTTATATTAATGGAGAAAATCATCATGTCTGGATCATTTTAATCCTTTAATTGTTTTCATCTGTAAAGATATGTGTGTGTTGCTGATCATCCTGTGTGCTATAACCAGTGTCAAAGTGTTTAAGGTGCATAACTAACGCGCTCTGCTGGACTTTAGTGCAGCTTATAGTTGGTCAATAGTGCGGTGTATATCAGCTCCTCAAAATATCAACACTCCAACAATGCGCCTTAACACACCTCCTTTATAGACCAGCACACACATGAGTCCACAAAGTGGTGCAAATGGATTTAGTATTTAAACAACGTAAAGCAAAACATGAAAATTACTGCTGCGCTGGTCTGAAAATAGCAACAAATCACGCCAAACACGTCTCGTGCCGTATTACACCAGTGTATGATAGAGACCCTATATGGGCAATGCACTTAATTCTGAATTTGGATTCTGTTTACAGGCATATGATGGCTCCTGTGGTCAAAATCAGTGCCTTCCATTCGGTTCACACCTCTTTACCTTTCAATGCAAGGTCTGATTGCTTCCCAAAAGATGTCTCAGTGGAAATGAGCAATATTAATGACTGTGAATTGAATCACAAAGCATAGCTTTATATATTTACAAAGCACAAGGCCAGGTTACGAGGCTTTTGAGCTCATGTTTAACACTGTCCCCTACTTTTTTTTTTTTTAAATACCGAGCTATTGATGGCAATAAAGCAGGACATGAGCCCAGAAACAACACCCTGAAGAGAACAGCGCCTGCTCCGTTACATTCACTAATAACACTGACAGCTGAGCGCAGATGACCCCGCGGCCCCTGCTTCACCTCATCTACACAGATGGACATTACCAGGAGAAACTGAGCCATTTTGCAGGGGAATTGGTATTTAAAGCCCCTTAAATCAAGCCTTTCATTTGGCACAAGCTGAAAATGAGGAAATTACCAGCAAGACTTGCACTTACTTTATTAAAGACTGTGTGTTTGAGCACAACCAATTGAAATGTTGACATATTATAACAGAATCTCAAGCCTCAAAGAGCCCTCAAAACAGGAATAGAATACGAGCAATGATTAAAGAAGATCGCCATGTAAGATCCGTTTAACTCGTGACGTTCACACGGAGACGTTCTTTAAAGCAAAACCCTCAAACGCAAAACTTTAACGTTAACAAGTCTGCTCTGAAACCTTTTTTGCTTGATTGCATATGCAATAAAATGTGGTAAATGCGAATTAATCAGAACCAAAGAAGAACACGAAACTAACGAGTTGCATTAAAGAGCATCGCCCAAAACGAACGCTGAAGTATATTCAGAGATCTGTTTCATATCCAGCGAAAGCAGTCTTACCTAGCATATGATTGGCCACGTGCACCTGAATTTCCCATTTACTGTAGAAGACCATCTGACACTTGATGCACTGGTATGTCTTCTTCTGAAAACAAGAAAAAATAAACATTAAACAGAACAGTTGGGCAAGGATTTTAATCAACACACAATCCTCCACCACAAAACATGTTACAAACAATAATGATCACTATTATGCTGTGTTCACACCAGACGCGGAACGCGCGGATAAATCGCGCTATTTGCAAGTAAATAGCTGCGTGAACATTTGAGTTTACTCGCTTCATTCGCGCGTCAAACCCCGCTTCATTCGCGTGTCAAATTCACTTCAGAACAGACCCGGATTCGCGTGATGGGCAGGGCTTCTGTCTGCCCGGTGACTCTAGCTTCATAGCTAAATGGCTAATATGGATTTTATGAAGAAAATAACAGTGTTTATGTGCTTTATGAAGACTGAAAAACAGCGTCGACACGTTTAGGCTCGTGTCTGAGTCCACTACATCCTTTCAGAGGTGCATCCAGCTCTGTGAGCTCATAGACTCCTCCAGAAACTTAACCTGGATGATGGAGGCTTTCAGCGGTGCTTCTGACTGAGCCGAGCCCAGTTTGATGACTTGTTGTCGGTGAAGGCTGGAGGATTTCCCTCGGAACACCGACAACAGTTTCTACGTCACAATCACGCCCCCACAAGAGCAAGCTTCTGATTGGTTAACGCGGCGCGAATGTACTCTGAAGTTCAGATTTTCGAATTCGAGAGATTCGCGCGAAACGCTTGTTAAGCGCGTTAAACTCGCAAAACGTTCAATTCGCCCTGCGCCATTCACGCAATTTGCGTCATTCGCGCCGCGCTATTCGCATGTATCGCACCGCAGGATGTCTATTAGCGCGTTTGCATTGACTTAACATGTAAATCACTCGCGCTTGACGCGCGTTACGCGTCTGGTGTGAACGCAGCATTAAAGGTGCAGTATGTAAATTTGACACCCAGTGGTTGAACTAGGTATTGCATTCCTGGATCAAAACAAATGCGAGTGCAGGTTGGCAGACTGATCAACAGGAGCGAGTCTGAAAAAGACGATTTAAATCATGTTCTTTTTAAAAGCATTGGCACGTGATAGAAGGAATATTCTCCATATTGAAAATAATTTTTTTGTTTTAGCCAACACCTCGAATTGATTTTTAGAAACAGCTATATTTCTTGCAGCTGAACAACAGAAAACAATGATCCGCTCAGGTGCAGCTCATGTGCTTTATTCAGTGTTAAATGCTAATAATGTGAGTCTGAATGCCATTTCACATCACATCTATTGCCGTACTACTGAAAGCAGCAGCAGATAGTTCAGCTCAGATCTGCAAAATAAAATAAACTGTGTGAGATTGAGCTTCAGAACTGAGACTCAGTGCAAGCCAACACATATCAGTGATTCGGCATCTACACTTAATCACGTTAAAGAGCTTTAATATGTGTTCATTAGATTATAAAGCTTCCCATTGTGCTGGAGTGCAGTGAGTGCACTATTCTGTGCTTCTGAATGGCTGTGTTTACATTTCCGTCAAGTTTCGTCTGGTGCAAACAGCCCAGATGCTCATCACTGCGTGTCTCCTCATGTAGCGTGTTGTTAGGACACAGGGTTACAATGTAACCTGCTCACCTAATGTTATGCTCGTAATATTTATATTATTCGCTAATTAATAACCTCCTCATGTGAGACTCTGAATCTGCATCTCATTTCAGAGTCTGCTACTATCCACCAGAGATCGCATTTTGGTCATGGACGCACACTTTCAGAGCCTTTCTGATCATCTTAATGAATGAAATACGCTGATATCCACTATATGATAAGGACGAGCAAATTTCGGCACTTTACGCAGAGGTCTTATTATCTACCTCTGTACATGATCTACTGAATATATAATCTGTACATAATCCCCTTTATGAAAGTGTAGGTCTACTGCAAGGCAACCTTACCTCATCACTTTGTGTGGGGCTAACACGGGACATAGGGGAGCCTTCAGGAGTCCTTAACTGGGCTGCCTCAGGTGTTTGGTCTCTGTGCACCGTCTGCAGGTGAGCTTGAAGCTCCGCCTCCGACTCAAATTTAACATTGCAGCTGGAACAGCGGGTCTTAGAAATCGAGGGTGATGCTGATGACGACGATGATGAAGAAGAACCAGTCTTTTTTTTCATAGGACCAGGGCTAAGGCTCTCCCCTTGGGGCCATCCAAATGCAAGACCCATTGACGTTTGAGCCCCTTGATGCAACTGCTTCCCTCCATTTAGACTTGAGTTCTTGTTACCGACAGCAGTGACACACAGCGCGCACAGGCCGTATGTCAAACCGTTAATGTCGAGTTTCACCAAGTCGTGCTTAGAGTGGAACTCTTTGAGACACGCCGCACATTTGACGACTTTCTGACTGCTCTGGAGTTGTGGTGTGCATGCAGTGGGCTGATTTGCAGATCCAGTCTTCTGCATGTGAAAGGTGCCGTGGATCTTGAGTTCGAGGGTTGAGGTGACCGTCTGCATGCAGACCACGCAACGGAAACCAGTCAAGGAATTGCGCAAATCCGGATGCATCTGACAATGCTCAAGGAAGTCTTCCTCGCTCTGCAGAGGCAACTTGCAGATGCGGCAGCTTCCAGTATCCAGGCTTTTGCTGTGAGTGACCTTGTGTTCTGTTAGAGTAAGTAATGAAGGAAAGCGTTCTCCACAAATAGGACACATGTAGTGTTTGACAGGCCCTAAGTGCGTTTGCATGTGCTCCCGAAGTCCTCCCTCGGAAAAGAAGGTCCTGGAGCAGACATTGCATTTGTGGTTTCCCTTGATCATGTCTGCCTTTCTCTTGTGAATTGCACTCTCTCCCGGTCGAATGTTGTGATCACGAAGTTGGTGATTGGTTAGGAGGGACTCCATGGTATAGGACGCACCACAGATGTCACAGCTATACATGACCTCCGAGCTATCAAAGTCTTCCTCGCTGCCATCCCGACTGTTGTGGGATTCACCAACACCAGTTCCTCCATGGCTGTTGGTCAGAAATCCCTGAAAGTCTCCCTCCTCCTTGGCGACTGAATCCCCACTACCTGACGTGGATCCATTGGTGCTGCAGTTCTGGGCTTTTCCCTCAAACACACAATGCTTATCTCGAAGGTGGCGCTCTAGCAGATAAACCGCATTGAAGGCTTTGCAGCAAAAGTGGCAATTATACTTCTTGCTATGAGTAGTGATATGACACTGCAGCTCAACTTCTGTGCCGAAAGACTCCCCACAAAAGATGCAACGATGTGAGCAGCCCTGATTTTCAAGGTGACTATGTTTGACATGCATCTGAAGGTCAGCCTCATGTTTGAAATCCCAGGTGCATGAAGTACAGCGGTACACCTTCCTCTCATTACTGTGCTTTACAGCAAGATGGAGTTGGGTTGACACTTTAGAGTCGAACACCTCCTGGCAGAGGGTACAGCGGAAAAACACAAAGGTGTGCATGTCCAGAAGGTGATTCTGCAAGTCATCCACGGATGTGAACTGTTTGTCGCAACTCTCACAGATGTAATACGTGGACATTACGGTGAAATGAGCAGCCACGTGCTTCAGCAGAGACTCTTGGTTGGGAAAGTCCTTCTTGCACTGGGGACATGTGAGCTGTGGCACCACACCATCAAGATGGGTCTTGAGGTGTGTCTGGAAAAGGTCTAAGCTGGTGTACTTAGCGCCACATTGGTTGCAAATGAACTCACTTGAACATAAAGAAGAGCTATTGTGTTTGAACAGAGATCCCTGTTCCACGGATAATGGAGATGAGGGGCTGAGGACTCGTAAGGACCTTCTTCCATTGTTGATGTAGTTCAGAGCAAGGGGGATGTTCTTGTGGTTCTCCTTAATGTGCTTGTTAAGCTTCAGGACGGTGTTAAAAATGGGGGAGTTGGTGCAGTACGAGCAGGAGTAGATCTCCACGACGGGATCTTTCGGAGTGACTGCAAGCGGAGAGTCGAACTGCATGCTTCCAGAGTCACAATGAGTCTGCCGGACGTGTTCTTCAAGCGTGGCCTCAGTCAAGAATCCCATAAAGCACTTGGGGCAAAAGAACGCATTGCTTTCTTTGGCTACTGGATTAGGAAAGCCATGCGAGCACCGAATGTGCTCCTGCAGCGCATTGAGATCTCCGAGCAACTCTGGGCAGAAATTGCACTGCAGCAGACCTTCAGACAAATTAGCAAGTACTCCAGAGGGATCCTCTGCGTTGTGGATCTGTTTCAGGTGTTCGTTTAAATTGCAAAGAGATGGAAGTATCTCCAGACAAAATTGGCAGGTGTGAGCCTGCTCCGGCTTGTCAGGGTGCTTTGTCTTCAGATGAATCTGCAGGACGCCAAGACTTGAGAAGACTTGCTTGCTGCAGTAAATGCAGCTATATTCAATTTTCGGCTGTTTGGCAGATCGCCTATACATGTCGTTATGGGCGGCCCTCTTTCTTCTCCCACGTGTCTTGGGCACTATAGAAGCCGTCTCCGCCATAGTCGAACTGTCAACAGAAAGATTAGAGTCTGGAGTAGTGCTCGACACAGAAGTATACCCTATGGGCAACACAGAAGGGCTATTGCTGGACTCTGGGAGTTGGTGAATATCCATGTGAGCGTACAGCTTCTCTACCGTGGTAAAGTGCTCGGAGCACACGGTACACACGTGACTCTTCCTATCCCTCCCATGCACCTGATCAATGTGGCTTAGGAGCATTCCCTCATTGCTAAATGGCTCGTGACAGTAAATGCATTGCAGACCAGGTTCTAGACTCCCTAGTACAGGAGAAGAGCATTCTGGATGGCTTTCTGCAATGTGTTTCTGCAACTCCTCGGGCATATCGAAGCCTTCTTCGCAGCGGCTGCATTTGCGTGTCTCTTTTAACCTCCATTCTTGAGGGGATCTTGTATTCGCCGCATCCTTCCCACGTTCGTGCACTTGCATGTGTCCGTGGAGTGAATTGGTGGACAAGAACCCCCTGCGGCACACCGGGCATTTATGGGGCTTGTTTGCGGAGTGCGTTTTCATATGGATCTTTAGATGATCGCTGCGTGAGAAAGCAGAATCGCAGTCTCCACAGTGGTACTTTTTGTCGCCGGTGTGGAGTTTTATGTGTCGGTCGCGGCTGCGCTTGTGCTTGAACAGGCGACTGCAGTATGTGCAGCTGAAGGGAAGTTTATCTCGGTGACTCTGCTCGTGGCACTTTAGGAAACTCAGGCGACTGAAGGATTTTGCACAAAACTGGCATGGGTATGGAAGGCCGGCTCCACCTTCATCTTCACCGTATTCATAGTCATCGACGTGGCCTGGAGATGTGTGGTCTTTACTAGATGGAGAGGAGGCAGGCCAGGAGCAGGATGGATCATCTTCTATATCGGTTCCATCTGTCAAAACAAGACAAGACAGAATAGGTTAGCTTTCTAGTGTTCTGTATATACAACATGTTTGTCTATATTAAAACATACTATTTTTTTAAATTAGTTCTGTTATCAAGGTATGGTGATTATTTTGGCTTGCTATTTATTTAATTTTTATTTTAAATAAATTTTATTCATTAGTTTTCCTATGGCTTGGTTTATTTATCAGAGGTTGCCACAGTGGAATGAAGTGCCAACTTATTCAATCATTCATTCATTTTCTTTTTGACTAGGTCCCTTTATTAATCCGAGGTTGCCACAGCGGAATGAACCGCCAACTTATCCAGCACGTTTTACACAGTGGATGCCCTTCCAGCTGCAACCCATCTCTGGGAAAATTCCATACACACTCCCTCATACACTACATACAATTTAGCCTACCCAATTCACCTGTAACATGTCTTTGGACTGTGGGGGAAACCGGAGCACCCGGAGGAAACCCACGCAAACACAGGGAGAACTTGCAAACTCCACACAGAAATACCAACTGACCTAGCCGAGGCTTGAACCAGTGACCTTCTTGCTGATAGGAGACAGCACTACCTACTGCATCGCCCTGAAACGCCACCTATGGCCGCACATTTTTTTTTAGGCAGCGGATGCCCCTCCAGCTGCAACCCAGTACTGGGAAAATATATATTTAATATTTATTAAATCATAAGAATAGGGGCGGCATGGTGGCACAGTAGGCAGCGATGTCGCCTCACAGCAAGAAGGTCACAGGTTTGAGCCCCAGCTGGGTCAGTTGGCATTTCTGTGTGGAGTTTGCATGTTCTCCCATTGTTGGCGTGGGTTTCCTCCAGGTGCTCCGGTTTCCCCCACAGTCCAAACACATGAGCTATAAGGAAATTGGTAAACTATATACTCTGTAGTGTGTGTGTGTGTGTATGTCGTCCAGGTTAGGGGGTTGAGTGTTGGGATAGTGACCCTCCTTGTAGAAATGAGATGTTATGAAACACCCATATGGTACGGCTAAATACCGTCCTGGATATAAAATGGCCCTGGCAATAAGTAAATAAATATAGTCGTCATCCTCATTGTTACGACTTTTGAAGCGTTCCGTTTTTACACTTACAAAGTCCGGCAAAAAGCAAATGCGCCATGGTGCGACACAACTGACTCTTAAAGGGAATGGGAGATAAAACTGATTGGTTTAATGCACGTTATACTCAAAACACAACCAGAACTCATTAAATGAGTAAGCACAGCCCTGTTAGACCATGCGCCAGGGCGCACGGCATATTTAACCCTCCTTAAAGTAGCAAAAGTGGATTCAGACAGACCCTTAATGCTTTTGCACAATGAGCTTTAGACTTTGCACCTAGATTGTTACAATAGAGCCCAATATTATGATGCATTTAAAGTCTTGAAATGACCTGGTGGGAGTTGTGTTCCCATTATTACATTGTCTGGTGTTGATATTTCACAGTGAGGAACTTGCTCCCAGGTGTCTGTCACAGCAAACAAATAACCACTTTAAAATAGCTGCTGTGTTACAAATAAATAAATAAGGTCTCAAAATGCTGGACATTGTGTAATCACAATATTTTACTTAAGAGTCATGAACTCAAGCGTTCAAGCGTACACTGAATTCTGCATTTGGAAGACTACAGTTTAACAAAACAAAAGCTGATAGTTGCTTCTGTTTGCTTGCTTGGTTGCTTGCTGTTTATTATTTGTTCGTTAGACTAGTCTAAGGGTTATCCTTAGTGTCTGTTAATGCATAAGGGACATACTGTAGTTCACCCAATAATGAAAAGTCGGTCATCATTTACTCACCCTTGACTTTTTAGGAATACAAAAGAAGATATTCTGAATGTTGGAAACCATTCACCATTGACATCCATAGTAGAAAAAACAAATGCAATGGAAGCCAATAGTTAGTGTTCGACATTCTTCAAAATATCTTCTTTTGCATTTAACATGTTTGGAACAAGTCAAAAGAGGGCAGAATTTTCATATTTGGGTGAACTATCCCTTTAAATCCAACTAGTTGTTCAAACCAAAACCTGGGTAATATTTTCCACATCCTTATTTAAGTCGGAGTGAAGAGCCAAGCAAAGAACTGCCTTTCCCCTTTCCTGGAGAAAGGAAAAACAAGAGGAAACGGCTAGGATTTATGAGGTGTCTTCAAGCAGCCTACTCACATATTCATGTCTCTTCCATTGTTTTTACGCCAGGATAGCATGCATTTATGAGCACTTAACCCATGACAGACTATCTTCAGGAAACAGATAACAATACAGGTTGACCCGCTGTTCCTCTAAACACACCGCTTTTACGCAGTTCAGTCCAAGGTACACATTCTGTGGACTGCACGGATCGGAACATGCAGAAATAAATGAATGAAGAATGCAAAAGTGTTAACTAGGGCTGGGGGAAAATATTGATACAGCATAGTTTTGCGAGTTATTTTGCATGGCAATACAATGTTGATAAATGGATGCTCATATTGATACGTTGCCGAAATGCTATGATCCTGTTTGGTTGAAAATTTAATTACCATCCACTAGATGGCTTAACTTTCATCATGCAGTGAGTTAGTAAAATAAAGATGGTGCATACTGCACAACATTTATGATGTGTTTTAATTAAAGTGCTGGTCAGCTTGGTCAATCCTACTTATTTGCATTACATCAATAAAGACTGTTGTTATCACAGAATAAAGCCTGATATGTTTATTGGTGGCCCATTCTTAAAGCAAAACACTGTTGTATAAGACTGAAAGGTTTATTCTGCGATAACAACCTCCTGGAATATACTTTATGTACTTTACATTAGACACTAAACGTCTTACTGAGCTGTATTAATTTATTAATTCTTAAATGCAAAACTGACAGAAACTAAAACAGCTGATGGAGTATACACTAACCTGTGCATTAATCAGACACTAGATGGCGCCAAACAGTCAAAAACGCAAAGCTGACAGAAACAGCTGATGGAGTATACACTAACCTGCGCATTATTCAGACACTAGATGGCGCCAAACAGTCAAAAACACAAAGCTGACAGAAACAGCTGATGGAGTATACACTAACCTGCGCATTATTCAGACACTAGATGGCGCCAAACAGTCAAAAGCGCAAAGCTGACAGAAACAGCTGATGGAGTATACACTAACCTGTGCATTATTCAGACACTAGATGGCGCCAAACAGTCAAAAACACAAAGCTGACAGAAACAGCTGATGGAGTATACACTAACTTGCGCATTATTCAGACACTAGATGGAGACAAACAGTCAAAAACACAAAGCTGACAGAAACAGCTGATGGAGTATACACTAACTTGCGCATTATTCAGACACTAGATGGAGACAAACAGTCAAAAACACAAAGCTAACAGAAATGAAAACAGCTGATGGAGTATACACTAACCTGCGCATTATTCAGACACTAGATGGCGCCAAACAGTCAAAAACACAAAGCTGACAGAAACAGCTGATGGAGTATACACTAACCTGCGCATTATTCAGACACTAGATGGCACCAAACAGTCAAAAACGCAAAGCTGACAGAAACAGCTGATGGAGTATACACTAACCTGCACATTATTCAGACGGTTCAATGGATAATTTAATGTTTATTGCACAATGTGGCGACAAAAGACCACACGACGGGATAGTTGATTATCTCAGTTATAGCATGATCATTTGCTAGTGTAGGTCTATACACAAGTTTAACTAGTTTTGCGCTTTACAGCACAATAAATCCGAATTCAGGAGGTGTTTGCGGAGCTGCTTCTCACTGCCTAGAGCTCAGAGTCTGAATACGCTGAAGCAAGTTGTCAAAGATGCGCTGTCCTTATACGTAAACTGTCGATTTGACTTTAACTACATTCTCACTCTTAAAACTTGATTTTGTGGCATAATAAATGAATATTTTTCTAATTTTGCCGACCCTCCGGCTAATCAGAAATAATCCACTTGTTCTTAGTTGAACCAGATGCAGGACGTCAACGTCAGGATGGTCTAGTATTCATAAACAAGTGTGTGAACACCGACTGATGGGATCAGAGACAGGGCAAAAGAAAAGCATGTTTTAGTCGCTCTCTCTCTTTCTCTTGTCTTGTTTTTTCCTGCCTTCACTCAGACGAGAAATGTGCAGGACGCTTGCTGCCTGAGTAAATAAAAGCCAGAGTCTCCTGGGTACTGCTGTGTGCCTGCCAAAGGGGATGCTGGTCCTGAAAACCTACACCCTACAGCTGAGGGTCTGTCTTTGTTGGCCTGCCAAAACCTTCCTCGTCCAGCATCCGGCCACTCTCTGGAGACTAAACTCCATCATACGCTCATATATGTTGGTGCAGGATTTTTATTTATTACATTTTTTTAAAGCATACACTATGGAGCCAGATCAGTCTCAAAAGTAATATGAAGTAAAATTAATACATGCAAAGCACAATTCACATTTACAAAATCCAGTTTGTAGATTTTAAAAACACAATTCATAAACACAACACACAATTTGTGAATTCACAAGTAAAACACTCCAATTTTTTCGACAAATGAAATGGATTTGTGTATTTATTAATTATTTTTGAATTTACAAAATGGATTTGTGCATTTATGAATCGTGTTTTGGATTTACGAATTGGATTTGTGTATTTACGAATCGTGTTTTGGATTTACGAATTGGATTTGTGTATTTACGAATCGTGTTTTGGATTTACGAATTGGATTTGTGTATTGACTAAATATTTTTGAATTTACAAAATGGATTTGTGAATTTCCAAATCGTGTTTTGATTTAACGAATTGGATGTGTATTTACAAATCGTGTTTTGATTTAACGAATTGGATGTGTGTATTTAGGAATCGTATTTTGAATTTACAAATTGGATTTGTGTATTTATGAATCGTGTTTTGAATTAACTAATTGAATTTGTGTAGTTACGAATCATGTTTTGAATTTACGAAATGGATGTGTATTTATGAATCGTGTTTCAGATTTCTAAAATGGATTTGTGTATT